AACATCCATTAACCGGTTACCATCAGCAACAGCCTTCTGTGGCAGAGAACAAACCAGGTTCCGACTGAAGAGGAAATTAGGAAAAGATTATGTAAGTGTCTAGGACATACATTACGCAAATCACCAAACTGCATCACGAGGTAAGCGCTAACTTGCAATCGTGAAGGGAAGTGGAAAAGTGGAAGGCCAAAGAACACATTACGTCAAGAAAGGCAATCAGATATGAAGAGGATGAATAACAAATGTAAAAAGCTGGAAAGGATTGTCCAGAACAGGGTTGAATGGAGAGTGCTGGTGGGTGGCCTATGCTTTTCCACGAGGAACAACAGGCGTAAGTAGTAGTAGTAGATGAGGAGAGTGGCATCTTTATGTGGTATAACGTCTTCTAGAAGTTGGAGCAGTTTATTCTGTAAATGATGTTTAGGTAGTTTTGTTATTTCATCTTTTGGTATGTATAAACGACTGACTTAAATGATTTCGCTGAGTTGTGAAGCAACTCCAATACAAATAACTTTATTAATTTTACTGTAATATCCGATACGTCATTCATGTCCTGTATTTGTATTCTAATACATACCTTATATTTGACGTTCTTACTCAGTATATGTCAAGAAAAATAATGAATATTACACGAATCAATCAATCAGTGTTGAGAATACAAATTTAACATAATCATCAACCTGAACTACAAAACATAGTCATTCGACTACCAGTTGAGTATAATTTGAGCAGTGATGAAAACATTTTGTCATTTATTTACATAGAAACTGAACAATTTTATATGAAAATACTCATTAATGTAGATGTTCCTAAGGAAACTATGGCTTAGTATATGCGTCACTTCCAAAGGCAGTGAGCATTCTTACACTTATAAACTGATACACTACAATAATCAACTTATTCAGCTGGCATGATGCCAGTCAGTCAGTAACAACGTAGAACTCCGTACGTACGTACATCAGTTCGAGTTGCCACACCACATTAGCACAGACATGCAGTTGTTGATTCAAATCCCGTAGTGGTAGAGGTAGTAAAAGTATAAGCAGTATTCGGAAACATTAGGGTTTGATGTTATTCAAGAGTATAATCCAGTGAAATAAATTTGGAAAGAGAAAAAAAAGGGACATGAAGAATTTGGAAGAACACAAAGAGTGAATGCACCTGCGCTATTGCAAACGATTTTGAGCCATTTCATCCAGGGTCTCTAACCATCGGTTGCTATCATCTCGCGGTCCCCAACCAGGTAGTCTACACCTATCAACATGGATCAGACTACTTGTTGGTGACTTCATGGATTTTTGCCATGTTTTGGTCTGGCCGCACCTAGCTTTCTTCCAACCTACTCTTATACCACTGAACATCGCACGTCGAGGCAGTCGGTCGTTGGGCATACGTAACACGTGTCCCAGCCATCTCAACTGATGAAGTTTCAATACTTCATCAATTGATTTGCCATCCTTACCTAGTACCCGCTTCCTAACAACTGCGTTACTCACTCGATGGTTCCAGGATATAAGAGCAATGTTTCGAAGACACCTATGATCGAATACTAGTAACTCAGGAATATCCTGACATAATGATATTTCAAGAATGAAGAAATTATTGTCACTTTTATACAAATTTTTTGATAATGTTTCTGATATCACTGAATATAGTCAAAATTAAACATGTTGATTGACATTATCATCACTCGGATTTTTAGGAAATGAATATTAAAGCAAATGAAGTGACTGACATATAAGAGAGATGGAGAAAAAGTATCAAAGCTAACATAGAATTGTATGTATAAATATATATTAAATTCTAGGCAGAAAAAATATACCTCCTGAAAGAATTCCACCAACGATTAGAATAACCTAAAAATGTTCAGTCTAAAATAGTTTCTTTAGTCACATGATCACTAATGGAATTATCACCCAAAACTCCCATGAATTTGATACCTTGAGTCAGACAGAATACAGATTGTTAAAAGGGAGAATTGGTTGTTGATATTATGGTTTCTATTTCAATTATTTGTTCATTCATTCATTCATTCATTCATTCATTCATTATTATTATTATTATTATTATTATTATTATTATTATTATTACTATTATTATTATTATTACAATGAATTAAAATAGATTGTGATTTGATGTAAATTCTATGGTACAACATTTGTTCATCTGCTGATTAAGTTGATTATAACATTCATGAACAAATTAACTGTATATCATCTGCCATATGATTGAATATTCAGAATTGTAAAATAATTCCATTTGTATAAGGCAAGTAAGTAGGAGACAGGGACAGACAGTGAGTGAGTGAGTGAGTGAGTGAGAGAGAAAGAGAGAGAGGAAAAGGCATTCCTAGAATAATGAATGATGAAAGTGGAATGTTCTAGTTTGAGATCATTTGTATTGATGTATGTATAGCTTTACCACTGATATGAATTGATTTCGTTAGAACATTGTTGATCGACGTAAATGAATGTAATTAATTGAATTTGAGGTGAAATTGTATGCGTGTATGTGTGTGTGTGTGTATTTGAATAATTGACTAGACATTGTATATCTAGTTGTAGAGAGGGAAACGAATGAATTAACTGTATGATTTTGATCTTAATATTTATGATGTATGATGTTTAGTCTTCTAATGGATCAACTTTAAACAACAGATCTGAAGTTCAAATGTAGTTTCAGGTTATTATTGTTTATTAGTCAAGTAATTTCATAAGTCACTGTTTAATTAGTGTAAATTAAGGCTGATGCATTAAGATTTTCATTATAATGTTAATGTTTATGGAATAGTGTGCGGTATTGCTTTATTGATTAAATAAATCAACTTCTAACGAATCAGTCTCAGATTCAGAATCTCAGCCTATCTATCCTGTCTCACAATTTTAAGTTGAATTTGCGAAATATTCTATTGTAAAATAAAGCAAGCGGATGAAAGGTCGTTCATCTTATGCTTTTTGTATTTATGGTAAAAACAGATCAATGATAGTCGTTGACAAATGTTTTGTCATAAAATTTTGACTAAAATAAAGTTCACAATGATAATTTGGTAATGATCCGTATAGCGTCTTGGCGATTGTTGAGTTTTGACTGATATCATAAATGGATCAATGTTAGACCACCATTGAAGACCTGATAACACTGGATGGCCGTTTCGTCCTAGTATGTGAATCTTCAGCCGTGCGTTCAACGACCCTATATATGGGACTCGGACCCAGGACCTCCGGTTTCGCGCGCAAACACTTAACCTCCAAACCAGTGAACCGACATCCAACGGTGTTAATTTTCTAACTTCAAATAATCCACGATACTTCGTGACCGTCTATCATTGTCGTCACTGAGGAACTACCTCACAACGGACATGATTGAAGTCCACTTGTCATAGTTTCTTACTAGAACTCCAGGAGATACATCTTGAATCTTGTCACTAGTGAGCACATGATAATTATCGGTATAGGGTTGTGGAGATTGTTGAGTTTAGATTAATACCATAAATGGATTAATTCGGTAATAAATAATTAAATAACTTAAATAGGAAATTTTATATGTTATCAACAAATAGAAGATAATTTCTTGGTTGTTTATTTATCCTTTTTATTGTTTCCTGGTTTAAAATTGTGGTTGAACTCGAGTCGTCGTCTTCTTCATCGAAATATGATGAATTTACTGTTGAAATATGAATGTGTCTAATGATACATAAAAATAGGGAATTACAATATTAATATTAGGAGGGCTTTTGTGAATATTATAGTAATTTCAATGGTTGAGATCATGAGTCAATTGAAGCTAGACCACCATGGAAAAGATAGAAGCATTGGACGGCTGTTTGTAAATAAATAATTTGATCCGATCAATACTATAGAACGTATCGTAGTGGAGCAATAAGTATTAACCCCTTGTTAGCATATTACAAATCAATGAGACAGGAGAGATGAAGAACAACCGGGGTGTAAAAATAACTATTGTATGCAAAAACGGAAAATTTAAACCTTCCGCTGAAAACTCGATTGAAAAAATTAAAACAGAATGACAACAATAAAATTCACAATTTAAAAACTGATATATCAAATAATTACATATGTATCAATTAGTTAGATTATAGTATTGTACCATCTTCAAATATGAATAAAGACTATCCTTTAAATCTTAAACATAAGGTGCACAATATTCGTGATAGGTTTTCTAACTGTATTCCAGATTCGGTTCTCTAAACGCTTGTAGCTAAATCTACAAAGTAACTTGAATACAAGAGAAAAGCACATGAAGTGTAGAAAGATTACTTAACTTCAAGGTTCCTTTATGTAAAGAAAATTTCAGTTGCCTTTCAGCTTCTGGTAATTTCTTTCATTTCTTTTTTTCAGTTTCATGATCAGAAAACTTCTTCGCAATGATTTCCTTGATTTGATTTATACAAGAACACAGATCGATGTTTTCTTTGACATACGCTAAACTTCTGTGTAACATATTATTGTTCTTCAAAGAACATTCACAATACTGAAATATACTAATATTATGACACTAATCTATAAATACTACACTAATAGGTAGAAATTATTCAATTCCTTTCCGAAGAATATTAACTAATGTAAATCCTAGATTACAAGAGAATGAGTGTACTACATTAAGTGATGTTTCTTGATTGTTAAACAATCAGATCTATAGATTTTGATGGAGTTTTGTTCTCTGAGCTAGATGGTTTGGTCGTTTATCTTTCATCGTTTTTCTGAACGACATCATCAGCACAAACTTAAGAAGAACGATGAAAGCTAAACGACCAAATCACCCAGCTCAGAGAACAAAACTCCATCAAACTCATCCACTTTAGCTACAAATCTTTTCCATCATCTCAAAATCAAATTTATAGAAAAATATAAAATAATATGTATATTGTCTATTTTAAAACAAGAATAGTTGTAGAGAATAAAATTGACAGAAATACACATAAACTTAAAACAGCCTTTTTTAAAAAGAAAATGAGCACAAATAGATAAACACTAACTTACATTTTCGTTTGATCATTCCATTTGTTCGAAAATCAACTACTGCTACTCTCCATCTTTGTGTAGCTGTACCATAACCGTACACAGCAGCAGCCATAGCTCGACCACCAGGTTCTGTAACTAATCCAGTAAACACAACTATTTCATCAGTTCTCTGGGATGATGATGATGATGATGCAGATGACCATTTATCATCATTGGTTTGAAATTGATGATGACTGTCTGCATGCATTTGATTTATAGGTGACGACATAGTACTGCTCATAGGTGAAATATTATTAGTACCATTATTGATATTGTTTACTGTACTGGCATTAACAGTAGTAGAAGTAGTAATAGTAGTTATGGTGGTCGTTGTATGAGGGACAGCATCCGAACTTGATCCAGTGGTAGTAGGAATTGTATTTTTATCAAAGACAATTCTTTGTCCTTCAGTTGAAGAAGGTATATCTGTTACTTTCACTGAAGCTGATTTAATCTTATCCAGAGATTCTTCACTATCATCCAACATATCATCATGATGAGTTTGACTTTTCATTGAATCATCTTCATTACTGTTAACTTGATATCGATTTGATTCATTAATACTCCATTGTCCAGTACGTAAAGGAATAGTATGCCAACATTTACCTTCATCTGTACTAAAACGTAATACATCTGGCCATAGAGTTTCAGCTGGGACAGCTACAATTAAACCTCCACGATTAGCTATTTGATAATGATGTGGTCCATCAAGTGCCTACAGAATAAATAAACAAAATGAAAGAAATAATTTAGTCGGTGGAACTGAGAAGTTCTTCTTAAAACTGATCATTAAGTAGCAAATGAATGGAATTTTGTGGATAGAACAAGTAACCAACTGGTATATATATTAGGAAGCTGAAGATAGGATTTCTAAAGATAGTTCAAACAAAAAACAGGCTTCATCAAAAACCACAATGTGCGAAATAGCTATTTTACTCTACTGCGCTATTCCATATCAGTGCACATACATAACTCGGATACGAGGAGAACGCTTAGAGTGAGGTGAATGACTTCATTAGTTTTAGTGCAAGAAGTATTTTACTGGCACATACATTATCTTCAAATGATATTATTTCACTACATAATCTAATATCATAACCTTTCTAAAGCATTATTATGTTTATCCAGTGTTCATATGTACTCGCGGAATTAATACTGAAAAGTTCGTACATAAAAACGATTGGACAGCTGGATGATCAATTCTTTGAAGAAATTCGCGTTGTTAACAAATATTAAAACAGAATAGAATGGCTGATTTAGTTGTTGAGAATGAAATAATCATGGGTGGCTATTAAAATTATTTGGTTGTACCTTCATAACAGTATTGGTTTTACAATAGAACTCTAACCCATTAAGTTCCTGTTTTGAAAGTCAATGCACTATCCACTAAGCTACTGATTCCAAATAAGTACTGGGATCCAATGACATTAGGCTGATAAATCCTAAATAGAACGAAACGTTCATCCTAGATACTAGTACTAGCCTCATTCCTACTGTACAGAATGGTCGAGGCTAAAGGGTTATATGAAGAAAACTCGGTCTAGATGTATATATATACCAATAGGTATTATTTATTTACTCTTACAAATAAATTATATAGATTTGAAGGAAAAATCACGGAAGATGATTGTTGACTGAGTAAGCTCTTTTGTAAAAGTTGTCAGTGTTTAGTAGTTTGAATATATTTCTTCATATCAAAAATTAACATAAGTCATGGAATAGCACTGAAACCTGAAGGATTATTGAACGGCTATTTAATTATATCTTAAAGATCCTGAACAGTGCACACACTTTCAATTCCATTTGTAATCGAATACAGGACCACTAAATTTCACGGTGAGTACATTAAACCCGGATAACTAAGAAAAAATCCAATAATTTTAATTTCGTTCAAAATAATGAATTTCAATTGAGATCATGAACCGATTGATGTTAGACCACTTTTGGAAACCTGGAAGCACTGGACGACCGTTCTGTCCTGTTGTGGGACTCATCGGGAGTGCGCATCCACGATCCCGCTCGCGGGATCCAAACCCAGGACCTTCGGTCTCGCGCGCGAACGCTTAATCTAATGGACCACTAAGCTTGATCTAACATCAGTCGGTTCATGATCTCAATCAAAAGCTTAATAATCTCCACAACCCCTATACTAGTAATGAATTTCAGTTGTTATGTGATTGAAGGTTGCCAGAAGGAAGCCCTGAACAAGCCTAGGTTTCATGTTAGTTGGGACTTGTCAACAAGGCGTAGCTACATTAGCAGGAAAACTAATGATCGCTATGTTATTCGAAACTGCATCACTTAGCTTTATAGTCCAAGACTTTACCACTAAGCTACTTGGGACACTAAACGAATTTATGACAGGTTTATGTCATTATTCCAGCTATCGGTTAAATATGTCTCACTATCAACGTGTTGAAATTTCACTTGTTATTAAAAATCCATTCTGAAACTAATTACTCCATCAATAGAGAAGTATAATCAACTCACTTTCAGTTCAAAACGAAAGGTAATTTTGGAAAATATATTATTCTATATCTAATTTAAGATTTAATATCAGATGATAAGTTTGCATGTGTAATTCACATATTAAAAACTAAAAACTTTAGAAACATAACCAGTATTAGAAACTTTCAATCTTGCGTAATATATAATTCATTCGTCTATGAGATGGTGGAGATTTGTAGCTCAGGTGGATGATTTTGATGGAGTTTTGTTCTCTAAGCTGGATGGTTTAGTCGTGGAGCTTTCAACGTTCTTCTGAACGACATCATCAACACATACTCCACGACCCAACCATCCAGCTCAAAGAACAAAACTCCATCAAAATAATTCATCTATGATTAGACCATATAAAATCTATCCTAAATGTTCCTTTAAATGACGAATATCATATCCTCAAACTAATTACATATACATAAAGAATATTTCATACAGTCCTAGTAAGCTATCTTGATCCATGCAGTTAAATAATATCGTACATGAAACAAGGATCATCTATGATAACAGGAAGTGAGAAGAATGATAACAGTACATTATTATAAATCTAATTAAATCAGGAATGTGAACTATTAGTGTTTGAATCAGTAATTTAACCACAATGCATTTACCATAATCCCTGAAAGCACTGTGGTTTGATTGCTACAGGGATTCTTTATCCAATGAGCTCTAGTTTGAAATGTTTGTCTAATTAAAGTTAGTAAGTATTTTAAACTATTAACATACATTTTATGTGAATAGTTGAGATCATGAGTCAATTGAAGCTAGACCACCATGAAAAACCTGGAGACACTGGAAGGCAGTTTTTTCCTAGTATGAAACTTCTCAGCAGTGCTCATCCACAATCCCACCTCTCGAAATTCGAACTCGGGATCTATCAGTCTAGCTTCAATTGATTCATGATTTCAACTATTAAAATTACTACAATATCCACAAAACCCCTTCTGATACTAAACATTCAATGTTTGTTTGTTAATTACTAATCATACACTATTTTTGTTTCGATTATGTAACTGACAGACTTTAAACATTTCAGAATGATTATATAAGATGGATTTTTTTCTCTATGATATCTCTATCGTACATATATGTGAGAAATGAAATAGTCTAAAAACAATGTTCCCATACTGATAAAGTAAATTGAGGTTTATTAAATGGATACAAATCTCATTATAAACAAATTACATAATCAGATAAAAATGAAAATCACTAGACTTAAACCCAAAAAAAACTAATGATAATACAAAATTAATGTATGATATTAAGGATATTATCGAGAATTTCAAGAGAAAACATAGTTTATTCAATCTTATTGACGAAATTATTAGTATCAGTTGGGTTTTGTGGATATTATAGTAATTTCAGTGGACGGCCACTTCGTCCTATTGTGGGACTCCTCAGCAGTGCGCATCCACGACCTCGCCCCCTGCGAGCGGCACTCAACGGTGTTAATGTCTAACTTCAACTAATCCAAGAAATTGAGCGACACATCAACCATTGTCTTCAGTGAGTTGCTATCTCACAACAGACCTAGTTGAACTCCACTGGTCAATCTTCGGTTGTGGCTAGTGAAAGAGCATTGCTACGGAGTACCCACATCAGGATGAAATGTCCAGTGCGTCCAGGTTTTCCATGGTGGTCTAGCTTCAACTGACTAATGAACTTAACTACTGAAGTTATTAGTGTTGAGATTATGAAATGATTTTAGCTGAATAACTGTTAAAAAAACTCGGGAAGATATTTCATATCAGTTTTAAACTCTTCATTGTTGCTCATCCACAACCTAACAATTAAAAATCGAAACCAGAATCTGCAGTCTAGCATGCGGACGCTTAACTTCAATACTACCGAGCCAGGATCCAATGGTGTACAAGTTCAGATTTAATTAATTAGTGATATTCCATTGTTTTTGTTAGATACGTTTCATACATGCGACAAAATCATCACCTTCCAGAGGAAATTTCCGGAGTCCTAGTGAGAAGCTGTGATCAGTGAAGTTCGATTGTATCCGATGTAAGGATGGTGTTCACTGAAGACATTCGAAAACTGTCGTGCAACATTCCAGATCTATGGTTCTGAGATTAGGCATTTACGCATGGAATCAATGGTCGTAGTTTCAATCTTCGGTTGTGGTTAGTGAAAGAGCATTGCTACGGAGTACCCACACTAGGATGAAACGGCCATCCAGTTATTCCAAGTTTCCAACAATTGTATAACTTAAATTGGTTCGTGATCTCAATAAAATCCAACAATTACCATAACCCTCATACTGAAAATAGTTTCTTTTAAGAACTTTATTTGAAAAACACAATCATTTAATATCAGTATTATATTAAAGGAGAGATGTAACTTGTGTAAATTTACTGATCAAGGCCGTCTCAATTTTGCCAACATTCATCACTTGTAGAGTACGATATATATTCCTTAGCCAACTAAAGGACAAGTTTACTGCACAAGAGTTCACTATGTCCTACTTTATGACAAAGCAACGTGTTTATTAAAAGTAGCGGATATTCCATGTTGTTGGGATATAATCATAAATGTTCTCAAAACATTCCTCGAGTTTGTTGAGATCACCAAGTGAGCAATGCTAAGAGTAAATTCAAGGTACTAACTGGGGATGATAAATTTATTGGTGGTAAGGTGAATCTTCATCTATATTTTATATATGCCCAACCACTACCTGATTCAATGAGCGAATTTGGCTAGTGTACGGGTGATTTGAAAAAGAGTTAGGAACAACTAAGTCAAGACGCTATCATCCCATGTAGTCAATGACTGTTAGGTATTTTGATAGACACAAATCACCTTGTTGGGGTTCGTGTGATTATCGTAACAAACTGTTAGAAACATTGAGTGTGATAGGTCAGAATCTTTCCCCGTGGCGCAAGCGGATTCACTCTGTGTCTTCTCTTAGATCCCAAGTTTCATAGTTCCTGGTACATTTTTTTATCCCACCGATTCATAACTTTGATGCCTAAACTTTTTTATTCCCACTGATGCTGTTAATACCTTCATTACTGAGATCTCCTCTGACAATTTCATTTCGACAAGCTATTGGATATAGCAACTCGAACCTATCTATACGTGTTTCTGATTACACTTCACGTATGGTTGACTGACTGAAATTATCAATGTATCTAGAAGTTTTATTTTGCTATTAGTGTTGTGCATAGTCAATATAATTTGAGATACAATATTAAGGATGTATTCTGAACTTAAAATAATCTTGTGATGTAGACAAAATGCACATCTATCAGCGGAAGATAGACAAATACTGTCAATATATAGCCAAGCAAAGGGTGTATTAGCCCAAGTCGCCATACCTCACCACATTAGGACTATTAGATAAAAATAACAAGATGAATAAAAAGGAGATCGAATTAAGGTAGTGGCAAAAATAATAAGATAGACTAAACACTGAGGGTATCGTTCGAAAAGGCACGACGGAAAGATACGCATAAAAGTAGATTGGAATTAAAAATCGAAAGATCAAGTGTCAACCTCAATCCTAAACACTTGGACCGATTCCGAGACATTTTTCCTAATATTTTCAACAATCATTTAGAATAGTTGCAAAGATCCTAATCAAGTAGTCTGAACCTATCAAACCCTTCAGTTTAACAGTTGATGTTTTCATGAACTGACAATAAATTTTGGACTGGTAACTCCTAGGCCTCCTCACACCTACTACAACTGGAGCTAACACAATGCATCAAAGTAGGTGGTAGTTGGGTATACGTAATACGCAATTCCAATTACCTCATTAGCTGAACAATCACTACTTAACCAACCCATCCTCAATCTTGACCTAACACTTTGAATCTAAATTTAGCATTGTTTATCCAACAGTATCATCTTACTGCTTGGATTGAAGTAGATGGAACGAAGTTAAAAATTATAAGTCAGTTGTTTGGATTCAAAAGTTAAAAAAGATCCCCATAGCTATGGTATCTCACTATCTGTGGACACACTTTTATAATGCACACAAACGCGACAGCAACCGACAGCAAACTAAGCTTCATTTTATTTAATGTAAATTGACATCTATCGGTACGGCACATCTGTAATAGTGTAGGTAACTATTACCATTCAGTGGGTTTTGCTAAATAAAAGCTTTCAGCTAAGCAGATATTATGATTAGTTCATTATATTTTCATTACTTGTAAACAGGGTATCTTAATCCATAATATAATTAACGTACAGTGAACTAAAGATTACCAAATAAATCCAGATAAATGCATTTTATCATATCATATTACTTACTTTAAGCCATGTATATCCACCATCAGAACTGACAAATACATCGGCTGGTGTATTTTTCAAATGTGTTGCCACATGTCCATGAGCTAATATCAGTCCCGGTGCTGCGGCTATTGACAATGGTGGAGAAGCGATAACACGATTTTTAATGCTGAATTGATTGCTTATTTGTAAACCACAAACCTATGATAGATAACGAAAATAAGAAATACAGTTCTAAAAATATAATATGAATATATACATTGATTTAAAACAATAGGATTTTAATATTGAATTATTCATAAGTGAACCGATTGTTACAGATATTGGATAATGAACAGATTCTAGGAACTTATTTCTTTTAACAAGTAAGTTATCTTTCAGTGGAAGAAAGAAAATTAAAGGTGTGCAGCTGTGATGAACGTTATGCAATGTCACTCAGTATCCCCAATCAGTGATTTCAAATATCGCATAGAAAACAACTTGAGGACATCCATATTTGATCAGCAATAAATGACTTTATGAATACAATACATCTTTTAATCTGACCACTCCTGGTATTTTTCAATCTACTCCTATGTTAGCGAACCATAGATAGGCGGTGGTTGCACATAAGTCATACTTTTTCTAAACACCACAATACCTGGGTGTTTACAATCTCATTAATGATCTTTATATTTTTAAGTAGTATTTTACGGTTAGCTAAAGCGTTACTCACTCAGTCTTTCAACCACATGAGAAAAATCCTTCAAAGATCTTTAAAAGTTAGTACTTAGACTGAATGACAATAAATTAAGCTCACTGGATATAGCTGTGGTTGAAATTCCCTCCAAATTTTCGGATACTTTTCATATAAAATATGAATAAGTTGCATCAACCCATAAGGAGAAAAAACGCATGAATGATTTATTTTCATGAAGAGGAAAGTTTTTCAAATAATTTATTTATTTATTTTAACACATAGATATTGGTACAAGGAGGCACCAAATACATAAGCGCCACACAAATCTCATTCGATATGTGTGAGGGCTGTGATACTGCCCGGGTGCCCAAACCGAAGCAAATAATTATTCGTTCAATATGAGGATTTGTATAGATTGTAGTATGGTTACAGTTGAATTCATGAGTAGATCTAAGCTAGACCACCATTGAAAACCTAGAAGCCCTAGACGGACATTTAGTCTTAGTATGGTACTCATCAGCAGTGTGTAAACAAACAAGTAAATGAACAACCACAGAGCATTTTTTTAATTACGAAAATAGGGTAAGGATAAATTCCATTCTCATTTGCAATGTTGACCTTGAACCTAGATATTAAGTAAAATGAAGCGGGAATTATTATTTACACTATCGTAATTCATGATGTAGCAAATAATTCATTCTGTTATTTTGGTTGGCTTATGTGAAACATGTAGAGTAAAAAACTAAGACGATCTTTGTCAGACAAGATTTTTTCAATAAACTCTTTATTTAAATATACATATGTGTATAGTGAAATTAGATGGTGGTTGGAGGTAGTCGACAGGAAACCATGAACCCGGGTTTCATGCTACTTGACACTCGTCAGCAAGGTGTACCTGTAATCTCGAGGGAACTGGTGCTCCCTGGCGGATTCGATCTGGTGTCACCGAGCTTCACAGTCATAGACGTTACCCCTGAGCTATCCCAGGACTGAGATGTAATCACAATTGATTGGTCACTGGGTGGCGATCAATGTCATGCGTGTCTGGTCTTTATTAGTGCAGATCGAATGCTATCGATCGTGTTGCAATGTGGCCACCAGTCTAGGTGACTCGACACTGCAGGAGGTCGGTTGCGGCTCGGATAGCTCAGTGGTAACGTCTATGACCGTGAAGCTGGGTGACACCAGATTGAATCCGCCAGGGAACACCAGTTCCCTCGAGATTACAGGTACACCTTGCTGACAAGTGTCAAGTAGCACGAAACCCGGGTCCAGGGTTTCCTGTCAGCTACCTCCAACCACCATCTAAATCTCAATACATAGTGCCCGCAGTGTCGAGTTACCTAGACTGGTGGCCACATTGCAACATGTTCGATAGTATTCGATCTGCACTAATAAGAACTAGACTCGTATGACATTGATCGCTACCCAGTGATCAATCAATTGTGATATGTGTATAGTGTTTTAAAGCTTACTATGATCACTATATAGGTAAGAGTATCACTCCAAAAAAGAGGAATATACTTAATTAAAACATAATATGTAACCCAAAAGACTACTGGCAATCACGATAGTACAATATCTTGGTATACACAAGGACTTAATATATATACTTCTTTTTGAATACAGGATTAAAATTTCATATCCAGGAAATATAAAACTCTTGTTGTATTAAAGAGCTATAAATGAAGAAACAACAGATATTGTGATTGATCCTGTAAACAGTAATAAAATCTGCATCAATATTAGTTTTGTGATCATTTAATTGTTCAACAATTTTAAACGCCTAACCACAATCTTATAGAATCAAGTTGGGAATGTTCTCACATATTTCATAATGATCTCATAATGATTATCAATAGGCTGAATGAGGACCGGAATCATTCTTCTCTACAAAACCTCATTTGCAAATATGATATTTCAGTTCTTTTACTACGAAGAAAGTGGTTACTATTTGATACTTCCTATAATCTATTAGTTGAAAACGCTCATGAGTTTTTATCTATGTCATTTTACTAGTGTATATTCTTCGTATACTACTTATCAAAGGTTGGTGGTTATAACTATGTATACTTCGATGCAAACATCTCTAACTATGAATTATGTTTGAATCGTATGCTTCATATTATAAAAATTTTTGTGACAAATAATCAATCAACACGACTTGAGAATTATATCTTTTCGAATAATATACCATTACTTAACTACGCCTGTTGTTCCTCGAAGAGGAGCATAGGCCACCCACCAGCATTCTCCATTCAACCCTGTTCTGGACAATCCTTTCCAACTCTTTACAGTTGTTATTCATCCTCTTCATATCTGATTGCCTTTCTTGACGTAATGTGTTCTTTGGCCTTCCACTTTTCCATTTCCCTTCACGATTGCAAGTTAGCGCTTGCCTCGTGATGCAGTTTGCTGATTTGCATAACGTATGTCCTAGACACTTACATCGTCTTTTCCCAGTTTCCTCTTCAGTCGGAACCTGGTTTGTTCTCTGCCACAGAAGGCTGTTGCTGATGGTAACCGGTTAATGGATGTTGAGTATCTTGCGTCGACAACTATTTATAAATACTTGTACATTCTTGATGATGGTTGTAGTAGTTGTCCATGTTTCAGCTCCATACAGTAGAACTGTCTTGACGTTCGTATTGAAGATTGTGACTTTGATGTTGGTTGACAGTTGTTTTGAGTTCCATATGTTCTTCAATTGTATGAATGTGGCCTTTGTTTTGCCAATCCTCGCCTTTACGTCTGCATCTGATCCTCCTTGTTCATCGATGATACAGCTGACCAGGTACGTGAAGGATTCTACATCTTCCAGAGTTTCGCTATCAATCGTGATTGGATTGGTGTTCTCCGTGTTGTATTTGAAGACCTTAGTTTTGCCTTTCTGAATGTTGAGGCCTACTGATGCAGAGGCTGCTGATACATTCCACCTGTAGCTCTTATAGAGTTACTGCTGGTCCCATGCCCGGGTAAAGGAAGAGGGTTTTGCATGGGGTTAGCAACCCCATCCCGTTAAAAAACTAGCTCACTAAAAAAACGCTGGCCAGAAAAAATAATAAACCCTTAGCTTTATCAATATTGTATTAACTCTATATCGATCTGATATGAATTAAAACACTTCTATCATACAACTAAATATATTTTCCAATTGTTATTACTTTCCAGTAAATGTAACAGAATAATTATGTGGTGAACTAATCGAAAAAACTATCAGAAGGAGTTTTGTGGAGATTGTAATAATTTCAGTAGTTGAGTCCATGACTCAAGTGAAGCTAGACCACTATGGAAAACCTGGAATTTCGTGAATTAATTGAAGTTAGATATTAACACTGTTGGATGCCAGCCAGCTCAATGGTCTAGGGGTTAAGTGCTCGCGTACGAAACCGATAGGTTCTGAGTTCGAGTCCCACGACGGGGTGTCGTGGATGCGCACTACCGATAATGGAAAAAAGTATTCTTGAATGAACTAAAACAACAAAATTCCTAAAAATATTTGACCATGACAAATATTTTCGATGTAATTGACAAACCAATAAATTCAAAATAAACCTAGAAAAAAGCAACTGTTTTTCAAATGTAAACAATTAGTGAACTTGACAAAACACTTGACATTGTTGACCTAAAAAACAAAACGTGATTCCATGCGAACATGTACACAACACACAAGTATACATACAAAATGTTCAGTTTCATCATATTTAAGTGACACTGAATTAAGAATCTTAGCTATATATATATATATATATATATATATATATATATACATTCGGGAAGGTCAGTGATATGTGGTAGTTGATTAAACGCTATGGTCACTTATCTGTTCATCTTGTATTGAATATTAGTTTAAATGAAGTCAAGTTATCATTACGTATTCAGCATAGATAAAAACACAATAATAGATAGGAATTGAATAATTCAAATTAGGTGAAATGCAAATTAAAATTCAGCTCTACCTACTTGAACTGAGTTAGTTGTGTATTAATATAAATTCTAACGGAGAATAGCATGAACAGAAGTTTAATACTTACTTAACTTCAGCAGTTGAAATCATGAGTCAAATGAAGCTAGACCACCATGGAAAACCTAGAAGCACTGGACTGCCGTTTCGTCCTATTGTGGGACTCCTCAGCAGTGGGCATCCACAATCTCTCCTGGCTAGATTCGAACCTGGGACATATCAGTCTCGCGCGTGAGTGCTTAACCACTAGACTACTGAGCCAGACGGCGTCCAACGGTGTTAATGTCTAACTACAACTAATCCAAGAAATTGCGCCACCGTACACCATTGTCTTCAGTGAGCTGATACCTCACAACAGACCTGGTTGAACTCCACTGGTCACGGCTTCTAACTACGATTCCAGAAAATTCCTCTTGGATTCAGTCACCAGTGGGCAGACGATTATTATTAGAAGGGGTTTTGTGGAGATATTAGCAATCTCAATAGTTCAATACTTAACTATTTCGAGATGTAAGGTAATGATTGGGAGTAGTCGAAAGGATACCCTGAGTATCGGTTTCGCGTTATTCGGCACACGTCAGTAAGGTGTACTTTTTAATCTTGAAGGAAATGTCGTTCACTGATGGATTTGACTTCTTATAACTCAGCTTCACAGTCAGAGATGTTAGCACTGAGTCTTTCCGGCCTCAACTGACCTCTTGTAGGACTTACCATTGATCGGTCACCACCGGCTGATTAATCAATCGTTAAGAAAATGACTTAGCCATTCTCTAAATGGGGACTTGATATAACTTCACATTTTTTTTATATACACATAGTTATTTTGTGAATCGTAATACATGATTTTTATGAAGTTTAATGTGTGTACGTCAACTGTTAATATCATTAAGCGAGTGACATAAAACGCATTTAAAAAAGGGTTGGAGAGAAAGAAATTCTTAGCGATTGTGAACACTTGAAATAATACAAAGTATGTAGAGTGATGGGAGGTAGTCCATAGCTAGCTGGGTTTCGTGATAATTGTCATTTGTCAGCAAGGAGTGCCTGGAACCATGTGGCACTTGATGAGACTCGAACACAAGTCAATCAGCAACATAATCTGAAACTTTACCACTAGGCTAGTAGAGCTACCAGCTAACATCAATACAAAGTACACCCGGTCATGTCAACAGAACCAAAGGCCATACTGCAATTTTGATCAACACTAAGTCACTAAACAGGTATGTTATTGATCACTATTTTGGTATATTTAGTTGAATGTACCCGCATCCCCGAGTTGATGTTCACTCCGGGGTCCGAATTCAGTGCTTCTCCCTTTGATCGGTATTGCGTTATCTACTTGGCTACTGAATCCAGTTAGCCATTAGCTTGTGCTATGGAGTAGATTTTAACTCAGTTGTATAGGCTGTTTGAATCTTCCCATTGATATTCAGGACAACTTAAAATTTTTATGGCTTAAATAAAATACCGAGGCCATCCGCACAGGATGCACATATGCCAATAAGACACTCATCAATTGAAGTCCTAAATATCAATGGGAAGATTCAAACAACCATGACATGATGAACTATTTAAATATCTATCATGGTCAATTTGGGTAAACCTTGTGTAATTTCTAAAAAAAGTATACGGATAACCCAAACTGTTTTAAAACGAATCGATTCTAATTATTTCAACTGACTGAGTATATACAAAAAGAGACTATAAATATCATCTAAAATCCCACCTTTACTGATGATGGGTCTGTAGACAATAAATCACTCATATTTGGATCAGGTCTCCATATTTCACTTGGAGTAGAATTCTCAATATTTGTCTGTACAGGATCTCTTGAAGGATTATTTGTTGTCGAACTCAAAGAGTTATCAGATGTACTGATTACATCACTGATGTATTCACTACCTACATTACTCATCGTAATATTATTATGATTATTGACCTTGACAGTAGACATAGTAGCATCATTAAATGTAGTCTCTGTTATTGTTGCCTCTGCCGTCGCATCTGTGGTTGTTGTCGTTGTTGACGATGTCGTTGATGTTGCTGGTTTACTTTGACAAGTATCTTGAACATTAATCGGTGTTCCTAAAGGATGCCAACTTGCACCACGATCATGTGTAATCACTGTATACAATGTACGATCTGGATTTAAACGTGTAGCCAAATATGTACCACGCATTGATGCTACACGATAGAAATCTGTCACAGGTGCATGATTTGGGTATAAATGATGTCGTAGTGATTCACTAAATATTGCACCACTGATATCGGATATAAATAATGCTCCATAACCAGTGTCTATGATGAAAAAAAACCCAGAAAATATTAGTAAAGAAGATTGTAAATATGACGGGATTTTAAAGTTTACATCATGAACAAACTGTAACTAATCAAAAACTGAAAATCAACAAGCACTGAACAATTGTTTCGTCCTGATATAGAATTACTCAATAGTGTGCATTAACGACCTCGCCAATGAACTTAGAAACTTTAGGCCTTACAGAGAACTCATAAACCCCAAACCACTAATATTAGCAATCAATGCTGTGAATTTCAAAATTCGGTAAATTAATGATATTATAAGTACATTTTCATTGCCGAGATCATAGAGTTTCACTGTTTATTTTCATCACTTGACAGAATAACAAAAAATTGGGGTTAAACGTAGTGAACAAAACGAATCAACGACAGAACTAGTTCTCTCTGTTTTGTTTTCTATTTTACTGAACTATAAGAATATTAGAAGAGAACATTTAATCTTATGATGTCGAAGAGTGACTATGATTTAACAAAAGTACAATCCTTTATATAGAGTTCCTATCACCTTGAGCTATAATCAAAAACTAACCAAATGAGTTGATTACTAGTATAGGGTTTGTGGAGGTTATTAAGTTTTTGATTGAGATCATGAACCGATTAATGTTAGACCATCACAATTGAAAACCTGGAAGCACTGGACGGCCGTTTCGTCCTATTGTGGGACTCCTCAGCAGTGCGCATCCACGATCCCGCGAGCGGGGTTCGAACCCAGGGCCTTCGGTCTCGCGCGCGAACGTTTAACCAACTGGACCACTGAGCCGGCATTCAATGGTGATAGTTTCTAACATCAACCAATCCACGAAATTGCGCGACCAACTTCCGTTGTACTGAGGTAGATACCTGTCTCTACCCGACGAGGATTAGCTCCCCTAGCCACCGAAGGCCCTGAGTTCGAATCCTGCTCGCGGGATCGTGGATGCGCACTGCTGAGGAGTCCCACAATAGGACGAAACGGTCGTCCAGTGCTTCCAGGTTTTCAATTGTGATGGTCTAACATCAATCGGTTCATGATCTCAATCAAATGAGTTGAGTTGATTAATTTAATGATAGGAAACTTTTAACCAATAATAATATTAGTCAAACCATTTAACAGGATGAAATTAGAGTGGAGATAATTCAACATTATTGATCAATAGTCAAAAGCATTTCCTTCTAAATTTTAACCTCTTCCTATTAATAGCTAAAAAGAAAAACATCTTATTATTAAATTAATTCAAGTATACTCAAAAGAAAACAATTAAGGCTCTTAATTCTGAACTTTCTACTATATAGGTATTTCATCTGACGAATCACGATAAATGTCAAGTAGTTGAAGGTAGTTGGCACGAAACTCGGAGTTCTTTCTTAGATTTGTGCTAGCTAGCATGGTTTATCTAGAGCTATAAGAAGACAGATAATCCTAGCAAAACTCGGACCGATATCATAGAGCTTGGTTGTGTGATATACGTTACCACTAAGTTATTCGAGCCATGAATAACTTCCAAATGGACTGAGGTATTTACAATTGATTATTCTCTGAGAAATGACCAATATCATATTTGTCAGAGTTTAAAGAGAGTAGTTCATCCGAGTAGACTAGATCTATTTGGTGTTGGCTGGGATTTTTCACTTCTGAGTTTTCATCTTCACAATTTTCGGTCAACAAATTTTAAGAATAGACGATTTCTTCTCTTTGAATTTTTACAGATCTATTTCATTATTTACAAATACTTCAAGTAACCGGTGAAGTATGCAGATAACATAGTAATGTTAACCAAAAGATTATAACAAGCTGTACAGTCTCATTATTGACAATGTAACGATTTTAGACATCAATTTGCCCAGTTTAAAAGTGAAACGTTTTACTACATGATTAAGTTGAATTAATATTGAATTTGATAACGTGGAAAACAAAGATGATTATTGGTTGCACAGAACGTTTAACCACTTACATGACATAAGAAATGAATACAAAATATCTGAACTGATATATATCAATAGTATGTTACAACTATTTATTTCAACGAATATACAACTACAAATAATCAAACATTTGAACTATGGAGATAAGAAATAGTTTCATTCACTGTTTTAAATGTCAACTATATATTATGATTTTTCAATTTAAACATGATAAAATCACCAGATATATACAAGACTAAGAGACCGATGTGATTATCATATTGATGACCTGATTCTTAAAACAGACCACTTAATAAAGTATACAAGAACAGTGTGTATATATATGAAAACAGAGATTTCGAATTCTGACTCTTATAAATTGACCTGATTTTATCAACAATACATTCAGATAAATGCACTAGGTGTTATTTACTTGAATCTTCCCATTGACGTTTAGAACTGCAATTGATCAGTCTCTTATTGGCACATGTGTATACTGTGTGTATTACCTCGATATTGTCTTAATTCACAAGCGTTTTAAGCAAATATGGATAGTGGCTAGGAGTGCAATTCAGGATGCGCGTTTCTTCCTATTTCGGACTCGTCAGCTGGATGTACCTGCACTTCAGAATTGATGTTCACTCTGGAACTCGAACCCAGTGCTGATCGCTTCAAACTCCATTGTACAAGCAAGTGGCTATTCGAACTCAGTAGCTAAATGGATAACGCTATAGTGTTTGAAGCGAACGGTACTGGATTCGAGTCTTGACGTGAACATCAACTCTGAGATGCAGGTTTATCCAACTGACAAGTCCGAAATAGGATGAAACGGGCGTTCTGGATTCCACTGTTAGCCACTATACATTCAGTCAATCATATACAACCTAGAGTATTTGGAGTAATATAAATGAAAATGTTGTCAAGTTTAAATTTGAATTCAGATTTTATCGAAATAGAAAAATATTGGACTTTTATTTTAATGAATCAAATGCATTTTGCTTGAGTAACTGTATGTTTTAAGAAGCCAATTAAGTGAATTCTTAAACTCATCAATATAAAAATTCTGAGGTTCTAATGAGAAGTTATCATCACTGGATTTCAAACATATCTGGAGTGAACAAATGATCATCATTGGAACTGGATGTCAATCGCGTTACATAGATTGAAATCGGAATTGTATAATTGTACACTATGATTGTAATTGTTGAGATTTCACTGAAAGACCTAAACATCCTGATTTCGATCTCTGGTATAGTCATGAGTACACACTACTTAAGAGTTTCATACTAGAACGATAAAAACTGTACACTAATTTGTGGTTTGCAGTGATATTTCAACTGAAATTAATCGTTAATGAATACAACATATTAACTTAAACTATTCCTGACAAAAATCTTCCAACAAAACAAATGAGTGTAGTAGATTAATTAATACTCTATAATATGAAGTGATCAATACTAATTTAATTGGCACTAAAAGTATTGACACATCTCAATAATAATGCACAATACCTCTCCAAAATAGTATAATCGCATAATACACAGCTTATTTACATACAGTCAAAATGTCCTAAACACTCATATTTAGTCTAATACTAATCTATAGAAAGAGGAAGAGAGAGAGAAAGACGGAAAACAGTTATTTTTGTTAAAATATAAACTATCAACCAAGTGACCATATCACTTCTTATACTAAAGCAACTGCCTATTTAAAAAAATAGTACAGTATTTGATATATTTGTACACATATGCATATATACATACTTCCATTGAAATGAGACTATTTCAGTCAGAAAACAACAACATCAACAATAAACAAAAAAAAATGAAACTGAGGACAAAAATACGATATTCATGTAGACAGCAAAATAGAAAGACAAGCTACTTAAATAAAAAGATAGTAGTTATTCATATTGTTCTTAAAAGAAAGTAGGTATAATTGAACAAAGAGATTACTATAGGGCAGAAAAGAATTTTCTTCCTCTGATAAACTGATTCAGACTATATAAACAAGAAAACTGGAAATACATAAATGATTATAGCAACATTAAGGATGAATAATTGATGATATTGACAACAATAACTGTTATATACATAAGAAGGATAGTTATTTTGGACATTTAGAAAGATATGTCAGTATATTAATATTATGAGAAATCAAATGAAAATCTTACTGAGAAGTTTAGATTATAATAGAGATGTTTTCACGTTTACCTAGAAAAGTAACACACATCGAGTATATGCATTCTAATACAATTATACTGTTTACATGGAATGAATGAAATAGGATTAGTAGTGGAATTCAGGATGAGCGTTCAGTTCTGTTTCGGACTCATCTGTCGGATGCACTTGCATTCACTCTGATATTCTAACCCAGTATTCTTCACTTCAAACACCAACGTCTTATCCACTTAACTCTACTAAGTCCAGATGGTTACTTATGCAACGAATATGAATTTATTTCAAGTTTTAACGGTTCATATTATCCAGTTGTCGATTTTTCAACTGAAATTTAATTAACATTATTGTTAATTTTGTAATGGACATTAATTCCGGTATGCTGGCATACCAAGTTGGTGATAAATCTAAAATGGGACAAAACGCGTATCTTGAATTAAACTGCAAGCCACATTCTATTTATTCTATGTAAAATTGTATTATGATTGCTATTTTAAGGTAATACACACAAGATGGCCCCCAAATGCCCTGGTATGGCTGAGAGTGGGGAGAGTCCGTTCTTCCTCTCGAAATGCTCTCACATGGTCACGCGTATATAGCCTCTGCCAGGGAAGTCCTACTCACTGCCTTCTCGTGGCGGGGGTGTTGTTTACGAAATTGAGAGGACAAAAAGCGAATGTCCGGCGCTTTAACTGGGATGATGGACATGGAGAGTCCACCTAGAGAAATTGAAAAACCCTGATTCCAAACCAGTGGTGCACATGGGCTCCAGCATCCTAAAGAAACAAATGGCGTATGAACCAATCGTTGGTCACTGGCTACCATGGGAGTGCATTTTCTGCCTTGTGGATCAGACCTTCAGGTCGAAGGTTCCGGGTGTGGCCCCCTAAGATGATCCAAAGAAGTTACAGATTTAATCAA